GCTGCTAGGCGCCCTGCCCTGCGCCAGCCCGCTTCGACCTTGGCGTAGTCGGCGCCTGAGTCCCAGACGACGGTGGCCCACTTCCCCAGCGGGGTGAGGGTGGCCTGCACGATCGGGCCTGCCGAGTGACGTCGAAGCCGCAAGGCCCTATCCTTGCCCATGGGCCTCGCCGCCGAGGCCACTGGACATGAGGACGCGGGCCGTGTTGGGGACCGTGGTGGGGGCCCCGAAGCTGGCACAGGCGCAGATCATGCTGGGCAGGAAACCGTTCTTGACCACTGCCTTGGTGGTTGCACCGCTGGCCTTGAGGCCGTGCAGCTTCCTCTCCCTGCCCAAGGCCTTGCGGATTCTCGAGCCGGCCTTCCGTCGTGTTATCGGCGCTCCTCCCGCCGTGTCCACGCCGAGCTTCTGGCCCGTGACCTTAATCTGGTAGCCGAAGTAGTTGGCCATGGCCTTGCAGGTGGTGCGCAACTCCTTGCCAGCTGTGATGAAGTAACTCTTGCCATGCTTTGTCACGCGCGTGCGCGAGATAGGTATGCCAGCTTCCCCTATCTGGTTGATGTAGTACTGGGTGCTAGCGTAGCTGTCCTCACGTACTTCCTGGCGCCCCCCATCTCGCTGCATCTGATGGTCGCCCACATGTAGTACTTGTCGTACCCGTGGCCGTTGTACTCGAATATTGTCACACACGCACACTGGGATGATAACCATCTTCAGCGCCCTGGTACCTCCACAGGAGCCCGCAATCACCGCCGAGTACGTGCTCGCACAGAACTTGGACACGATCCACAGGTACGTGATCCATCGGGGCCCCGTGCACATGGATATGAACCGGTGCATCATCTGGCGCGGGAAGTCGAGATCGGCACTGGTGCCCCACAGAAGATAAGCGCTGATGTGCTCGACGGCCTTCTCCAGGTCGGACACCGCGCTGAGGGACACTGCATCGTCTGGCAGGCCTTCTTCTTTTAAGGCCTGGCACAACATGGCATTATCAGTTCCGCCGCCTCGAGCGGCCGAGTCGTAGTCTCGCGCAAGTTCTGGCTTCCCATTGGATGTAGACCTCCGCGTGCAGCCGCTCGGTGATCCGCATGGTGGTGCTCATGACTCCAATGGGCCTGGTATCGGTAGCAGTCTTGTCTAGAAGGAAGAAGAGGATATGCTGCAGGCTAGTCGGCCAGTGGATGTGCTTGCTGATGTGCATGACTAGGTTACACATGAACTGCGTGCCCTCTTCGGACAGCTCGCACAGCCACCTCGGGTGTATCTGGATCAGCGGGCGGCTGTATGTACACGTGTTCCATGGGCGATGCGCGTCGCCGCGGCTTGTCTCATGCTGGGGCATCCACAGACGATGCCATACTGCAACGTGTTGCTCGGCTCTCGTCTGTAAGTCGGCCAGGTCGAGGTTGTCGATGCCTGCGTTGACCTGCGCCGTGGTAGCATGTGGTGTGGGTGGCGCCTTCGCCCACTTGCTGACGCGGTGAATGAGCCCCGCGGAGCCCTTGGTGGCCTGCTTGAGGCGCTCTCTCAATGCCTTGCCGCGCTGCGAGGCGATGTGCTGCTCGATCTTGTGGGCCTCGGCGTTGGCGCACTGGTGCGCTGCGCGCATGTCCAGCAGCAGGTCCATGTTCTGCGCGATATTGTCCTCCAGCGCCAGGTCGAGCACGTGCTGGTGCAGGCCTGCGTTGGGCATGTGCTGCCATTGGCTGTGGCCCTGCTTGCTCTGCCTGGCGAGGCTCCTCCAGTGGGGCATGAGGATGTCGTGGCTGCCCCCGCGCTTGTTGGCACCGCGGTGGGGGGGCATAATGTCGCCGAGCAGCTTGGCGCACCATCTCCATGCTCTCGACGTGGGCCCCTTCGGGGTCTGGCATGGGCCTCGGGGCCCGCTGCAGTGACTGCAATGCACTTTGGTGCTCTGCCACGGCCCTTGTACATGCATCTCTGGTCGTGGGGAATCTGGTGCAGGCGGCAGAGCTCAACTTCCATGCTGGCGTTGGCCTCCTGCCAAATGCGATCCAGGTCGCCGGGGTGCTGATGCATGCTGTAGTCGAGCTGTGGCCACGGGACCTCGAAGGGGTGAGGCCTGTCCTTCGCCGGCGGCGCCTGGGCAGGGAAGGGCTTGACCTTCTGAATAACGCGTACCTGCACCTTGCGGAAGGATCCTCGAAGAGTCAGGGCCAGCGGCGCATGCGGCGGGACGCTGACCCTGGCGCATAGCTGCGGCGGGCCGAAGGCGGGGGCAATGCGCCGGTCTACTATGTAGTGGTCCAGCTCACGATGCCCTTTGGAATGCTGGCAGGTAGGGGGCCCAGTTGCCGGTCGGATTCCTCCGATGTCGTCAATCCAATTACTACTGGCCAGCTCACTCGGTAGCATGTTGAAGTCGCCTTGGAGGGCCCAGGGGATGCTGAAGCAGTGGATGATGTCGGCGATCCGATCGAGCAGGCTGAGGTCCCTGATGGTGAGGCCCTCGGAGACCCACATGTACACGCTGATGAGCATCATGCCTCCCTTGCCAGTGGTGGTGAGTGGTCGACGCCATTGTATCCTGCCAGCGGCGCCAGGCCGATGGCGGAAGGCACTGCAATGTATACCCCTGCGCTGGGCCCCCCATGTGGCCCAGGGGCAGACCTGGTCATAGCCGGGGTGATGCCTCGCTTCTTGGTGGAGGCGAGGATCTCGGGCATCCACTGGTTGCCCAGCTGGTGTTCTTGCCAAGAAGAGCCCAGACCTGGCGGCCGCCACACAGGGGGTCGAGCAGCGCACTGGCCGCGCTCCATGTAGAACAGTTGGCGCCGTGGATCCTGACTCCTGTCTTGGATGCCCCTCCTTTGCCGCGCTTTGACTGTTTTGGCCCTGGGCCTGCCCCGCTGGCGTCGCCGTCGTGGGGGCTGCTCTCGGAGAGGCCCGCCGCGTCCGTGAAGTGCTGGTTGGCGCAGCTGTCCTCGCCGAAGTCGCTGTTCGGGCTGGTGCCCTCTACGTCGTTCTCGCCAGAAGCCGCGACCTCTGGGGGGCCAGTGGCCCGCTTCTCCTCTGCAGGCGCCCCCCCCGGACCGCGTCTCGCAGAGCGTACTTCATGCTGGTCACTGTCTCTGGCAGCTTGGACGCCATGGTCGCTGCTCAGGTCGATGCCCTCTACGCCGTTCCCGGCGGGCGCCGCGACCGCTCGGGGGCCAAGGGCCCGCGCCCCCTCTGCAGGCGGCAACCCCAGACCACGCCTCGCAGAGCCCCGCTGCAATCGTAGATGCCAACGCAGGTGACCTTCCTGTCGTTGCCCTCCGCGTCTGCCTCTGGGTCGGAAGCGCATTCCGCCAGGTATCCTGTCTTGATGATCGCGCCCCCGAGAGTGCCTATTCTCTTCGGGGATGTGCCGTCGGCGAATCTGGCACTCCATGCTGGTCCGTCTACTCTGGGTCCTGCGTGAGGTGCGGGGCTGAATCCGGGCGCCCCGCATGCCCTTGGCACAGGCGGGTTGGGCCCCTGCCGCTGGCTGAGCGCCTGAGGTCGGGGCCTGACCCTTGCTCTCCTTGCCCTTCTCCTTCTTGCGCCTGGCCAGGGTCTCGTTCGTGCGCCGCTGGAGCTCGGCGCGCCCTGCGTCGGGGGAAGGGGCAGGTGCCTCTGGGCGGCTCCGCTGCAGGCGACACCGCTGCAGCAATGCCAGCAGCGCTTCCCTGCGCCTGGCTGGCTTGGTCTGCAGGTGCTGCTACCGCTGCTGGGGCCTGGGCGCCCGTGCCGTTGTCCCCCTTGCGTTTCTTGGCCAGCCGCTGTGCATGCACCTGGTGTTGTTGCTTGACTGCCGGCGCGTGCTCAGCGGCCTTGGCGAAGACTTCCTTGGTCCAGGTCGTGATTTGTTATTCGAGGGCCCGCTGGCGTTTGCTGATCTCCTCGCGGTCCTCGGTCGTGATGTCACCTTCCTCGAAGTCGAAGACTGTGCCCATGTCGATCTTGATGCTACTGCAGGTGCCGTCGAGCAACTCGCCAAGGGCGAGCGCGGGCTGCTCCGGGGCCTTGGCTTTTGTGCAGCTCGCGCAGCTGGGCGAGGACCCGCGAGTGCTGCACGTTGTAGTCATCGAGCTCGGCATTGAGCTGGGCGACCCAATCACTCTGGACGTCGAGGTCACCTTCCCACATGTCGAATTTGCCCAAGGCCGCCTCGAGCTTCTTGGCGTGCTTGTCGCGGGCATTGGAGAGGTTGGACAGCTGCAGCTCCACGGACTTCTTGGGTCCTCCCGCCGCCAGGCGGTTGATCGTGTCGATCCTTGCCGTGCAGCGCTCCTGGAGCTTGGTGTTGCCCATCTTGGTGGCGAGGGTGTACAACTCGTTGGCCTCGGGGAGGTCCAGCTTGTCTACATTGAAACCGTCGTGATCTGCAGGCTGGTTGCCAGGGCCAGCGCCGCCTGCGCGGCCATTAGCCATGCTGGGGCGATCCGCCCAGCGCCCCTGCGCAGCTGGCGGTTCGGCGTCGCCTGGCTCATGACGTGGTGCCTGGCAGTGCTTGCGCCAAGTCCAGGCCCCGAGGTTCTTGCCGCACCCGCACTACGTGCACTTCCAGGTCGAGCCGGCGCGCCACGGCGCAGCGTCGCGCCACCAGCTCCTCGGCGCCATGGCGATGGAAGTGTCTGTTCCCGAGCCTGGGGCTGACCATGCGGGGTCGTCGTCTTGCTCCACTGGGAGCTCGCTAAACGAGAAATCCTCACATCCTGGGCAGGGCCACTGATCGTGAGGAGGCTCCGCCAGGAGCTCACAGGATGCTGCGTCGCCTGGCGGCTCACGCAGCGGTGCGATGAAAGAACTGGGGTCTAGCCGCGGACTAGCGGCATCCACTTGTTTCACTGGGAAACACAAAACCTTGAGCCAAAATGGCTACGGGAGGAGGCGGAGGAGGAGGAGGAGGAGGAGGGAGGGGAGGCGGAGAGGAGGAGAGGGGGAGGAGGAGGAGGATTATTATTATTACTTCATTGCCCGAGGGGGTCTGGACAGGGCGAGGGGAGGGGCGCCTCCTCGGCGCGGGGCTCGCGGGAGCGTGCCGCCGCCGTCGTTGCCGGGGTGCTCGGGCTCCCTGTGCGGCCGCCCGGTCGCGGAGAGCAGGAGCATTGGCAGGGAGGCCTACTGCTCCTCCCTCC